GTTCTTACCCACGAAAGCTTATGCTCCCAATACTTCTGTTAGTCTTAAAGGTGCCACAGGACCCTCTGTTGCTTTTTACAGACTCAGACTAACACGGCTACCCCTCTGATACATAACTTTGCTAGACACTAAAAATCATGGACTGAATAGAGAAACTGGATTTATGGCTTATTACAACAGTCTATAAACCACTAACACTACTACCCTCCCCCCCGGCTGCTTTCCCCACTCCCACAAGCTTTCTGCCCTATGACTGGAGGAGTGTTAACAGGCCACTTATCTTGAATGGTCCCTTGAAATATGTGTTAACTGCTTAGGCGGGCTGGGCTGGTTTGTTTACCTGCCGTGTCTGCAGGTTCAGCTGATCTCAACTCCCACTGGCCACAGTTTGCCATTCCAGGCCAATGGGGGCTGTGGGAAGCGGTGTGGGCCAAGGGATGTGCTGGCCGCTGCTTCCCGCAGCCCCAATTGGCCTGGAGCGGTGAGCTGCGGCCAGAGGGAGCTGCGATCGGCCAAACCTGCTGATGCGGCACGTAAAGAAACTGGCCCGGCCCGCCAGGGGGCTTACTCTGGTGGGCCATGTGCCAAAGGTTGCCGATCCCTGGCTTAGAGCATCTTCACCAGAAGCGCTACGCAGCTGCGCCAATGGAAGTTTGTACTGTAGACCTGTCCTCTGAGTAAGTTTCCCAGACCTGAAGAAGAGCTCTGTATAAGCTTGAAAGCTTGTCTCTCTCTCACCAACAGAAGTTGGTCCAATAAAAGATATTACCTTACCTGCCTTGTCTCTCTAATATCCTGGGACCGACATGGTCACAACACTGCATACTGTAACCTTGGTAACATACAGGAGTTGGTTCAGGCGACAAATGAAGTTGAGCCATTAAATACGTGGGACCAGAGTATAATTAAGATTGACATGTGTGCACAGGGACAATCATACCTAGATGTAGTGCTGCAACACTTAACCTGCAACAAGGGGAACTTAAGGAGAAACAGGTTTAGTAACTGTCTGCAGGGAAAAGTTAGGAAATTAAGATATACAACATTGGTTAGTGGAGGCAGCACTGCAATTCAGGTAATTAGCGCACAAGAATAGAGGGGAATAAAACACTAATTTACAAACAAAGTGTCCAAATGACAACTTTTGCCACACTAAAAATTGTCTCTTCTCCCATCACAGAAACATTACACATTTAGGGCCAGATTATTTTCTAGTGTAATTTCATCTAAGTCAATGGAGTTTCACCAGCAGTGACTCTGGCCCTCAGTTTTCTACATCAGGTCAATCAGTTTTGATTTAGTTTTACATAATTTACCTTTGCAATGAAGATGCCCGCATCCATGATGGCTTTGATGTGTTTTAGCCAGCCAGAATTCTCCAGGCCCCAGAGGAAGTCATTCATAGAAGGGGACTTCAGCTCACAAACTGCAAAGTAAGTCACGTTTTTAATGCACAACATAACATTTTAACTCGTAGGTTCCGACTTACTATTCAACCTAAGTATTGATACGTTTGCAGATTCTCTGCATAAAACAGACATATTCTGAAATGGAAAGATTACTTTTAAGTATATCTAAGGTTCTATACAGCATGTATGAAAGCATAAATTAAAGGGACAGCGTTGGGTGAAATTTGGCCCAACGTGTAAAAAAAAGTTGTTAAAAAAAAAAAAGTAGGTTTTACAAAACTTATAAGAGAAATGCTTCTTTTAAAAGATTCCCAAGCAGTACTTTGGAATTTATATAAATATTTCTTCTGTGGTGCAGGTTTTCCATAAGCATAACCATTTTAACAGTAGCAATGAAATCCGTGGCAGTGGGGAAGGGTGATCCTGTGATTAATTATCAGAAGTTGGAGTCAAGAGGATTGTGGTTTTCCCCCCAGCTTTGCCACAGATTTCATGTGTGACCTTGGCCAAGTCCTGCAGGATAAAATTTTCAAAAGTGGCCATTAATTTGGCCATAAAGAAATTAAGCCAGCCATTGAAGCTGTTGGCCTTAATCTCACGGTGCCTCAATTTCCCCATCTGTAAGAAGGATTAACTCAATAATACTGTGAAAACAATTTGAGCTCCTCAGATAGAAGATCCTAAAGAAGTTAAATAATATTGAAAATAAATGTATCAGGAAATCTAAATCCCACATTCTTATGCTCTAATCAGCTGTTATGCAGGTAAATGGCCATATTATTCATATATGTGCTGGGCTAAGCATCCAAGATTGACATTCAGAAGCCCTGTATACAGCAAAAATATTTGATGTTTATCTGGATACCCTGCAAATGGACAGGGTGAATAAAATCCATTCTCTTGGCTGCCTGCAGGCTCCAAGGCACCTCTTGTGATACAGCAGGGGCCCCTTTTCATCCACTATTGCCAGAGACATTGCCCATTGCACCAATCCATTGAGAACAATTTTGCTCTCACAAAGAATCGATACTGTTTGTTAGAAGCCCACATATTATTCCAAAAGTTATTTTTTTGGTATACATTAGTGGAAGTGCAGACAAGTGTTCTCCTGAAACTGGCTGAGGTGTTCTGGACAAGCCAAGTGGAAAAGGTCTGAGAGGGAATCCCAACAGCCACGATCTCAGCAAGAGTCTATCTTGAAATTACAACACCATTTAGCTGGACTATCCTGGGTGAAGATTTCTCTTGTAGTTTTTTTTTAATTTGTATTACTGTAGCACTTAGGAGCCCTAGCTGTGGACCAGGACCCCATGGTGCCCAGAGCTGAACAAACATACAATAAAAAGATGGCCCCTGCCTCAAAGAGCTTACAATCTCTATTAATTATTTCCCTTTAATTTTGAAATAACACACACAATTCATAGAACATTCAAAGCAGATAGCAAATATTGGGGGGAGGGAGAGTTGCTCAGCTCATCTTTACAATGTTGGTGGCTTTAACACGATGTCCAAATCCCAAATGTGAATGCTAAATCAATATGTAGATATACACAATGAGAACTTATGTACCTAACATGGGATTCAGATGTCCTGTTAAACCATCTGTGAGTGAAAATTGGACATGATATATTACATGAAAATTCATCCGTTGAAATCTTATATGCTACACATAAATTATTATAACATTAACATATTTTCATCTCTATAAAATGTCTGAATTTTTTTTAGTCTGTATGATATAGTTTCATCCCACTGTTAAGTGTCTGTCTTCATTCTTTCTCTCTCTTTCTCTCTCTCTCTTTTTAACTATTCCAAAATTAGTAACATTGGCCAAAAAAAAAATCAAAAAATAAAAAAGCACCTCGCTCTGATCTGAAATCTGGCATGTGGTCTCAATCCAGTAAAAAACAAACATTCTTTAAAAGGACAACAAAACTCTGTGTCAGCCATTATAAATTTCATGTGCCATATCCATCACAGACATAAGACCATGCAACTCTGGTGACTTGGGTACAGCTGCACCAGTTTTTCTCATCGGTAAATTTGATCCTAAGAAAGAAATTTCCATTTTCTTCAGTGTAGCCAGGATTTCACTCTATAAGCGAAATTCATAATTAGTCCACCCCAGGTCTCAATTTCTGACTTTTTTAACCCTTTTTCATTCTAAGGCACAGTAGCCTAACGTGTATTATATAAAGCATTTCAATCTTTGAACACAGAGGTTCTCACAGAAGTTTATTTTACAAGTCATTTTTGAAACGCTTAAAAAAAAAAAAAAAAAACCTGAGTAATAGTATTGAAAGCAAACAGTCTTTCAAATGATTAATGCTCCTGTGCAGATGGAAGCATAAGCAATAAGTAGTTGAATTTTAATTGAAGCTGCTGGCTCTGTTTGCAAAAGCCCAGGGTAAAGCTGAAATACTACTTTGCTCATACCTGCTACCAAATCAGAATCAATATTTACTTACCATTTGACTGAGCAAAGGCCATTTTGTCCCAAATTAGAGACATATGCCACATATTTTAAGTGATACTGGCTACTGATCTGTAGTTTAATACTAAATTCAACTAATGCTGAATTCAGTTACTAGGCAAAACATACATGAAGCCACAAAAATATCTGTGTATCAGAAGAAAAGAAATCAAAACATTTGAACTATAAAAGGCTCTGCAGCTATTTCACATGGAGGAGGGTATGGGGCAGAGATGACTTTACGCACAGGAAAATCAAGGAGCCACTTGGGGCAGTACATTGTATGGAAGCTCAGCAACTCATAGGCTGCCCTTATTTTTCTCCCCAGTAACTGGACTGGAGTGGGAGAAGAAACAGCATACTGTCAGATCTATAGTGTCCACCAGCAATAGCACCAGATGGGGAGGCAACTGCTGGATTAATTTTCCCATTTCTGGCACCTTGAGGCCCCACAAATCCTAAAGCTGGCCTTTGCTCAGTTGGGGGAAGGGTTAAAGTAGTGGTCACCAACCGGTCAATCACGATCAACTGGTCGATCCTAGAGGATCTCCCAGTTGATCGCAATCTCCGGCGGCGCAACAAGGCTGTTACTAAGGCAGACTCCCTGCCTGCCCCGGCCCCACACCGCTCCCGGAAGCAGCCAGCACGGCTCCGGGGGTAGGGGTTTCCCTCCGCGCGCTGCTCCTGCCTGCAAGCACCGCCCCTGCAACTCCCATTGGCCAGGAACAGGGAGCTGTGGCCAATGGGAGCTGTGAGGGCGGTGCTTGCAGAGAGGGGAAGCGCACGGAGCCCCTTCCCCCCACTTCCTCCCAGGGGCCACAGGGGCACGTTGGCCCCTTCTGGGAGCAGCGTGTGGCGGGGGTAGGCAGGGAGCCTGCATTAGCAGCAGCCACGCTGCACCACCAATTGGGAGCCGCCAGAGCTACGTGCCCGGCGGGAGGCCGCACCTCAAGCCCCAGCCCAGAGCCACCATACCCCTTCTGTACCCTGAACCCCCTCCGGCACCCCAAGCCCCAGCCCTGATCCCCGTCCCAGAGCCAGCACCCCTTACTCCCTCCTGCACCCAAACTCTCTGCCCCAGACTCAGCCCAGAGCGCCTCCCACACTGCGAACCCCTCAGCCCTAGCCCAGAGCCCGCACCCCCTCCCAAACCCCAACCCAGTGAAAGTGAGTGAGGTGCGGGAGAGTGAGCAGCAGAGACGGGGGGGGATGGAGTGAGTGGGGTGGGGCTTTGGGAAAGGGGCAGGGCCTCGGGGAAGGGGCAGGGCCTTGGGGAAGGGGCAGGGTAGATTCTGGGTTGCCCTTAAATTCAAAAAGTGATCTTGGGCGTAAAAAGGTTGGAGACTACTGGGTTAAAGTCTGTGGGCCAAACCCTGCAGTGCTTACCCAAGCAAAACTCCCAGTGAAGTCCAAAGACCATAGGTTTTGTTCCTATCTAAGCAACTGATGCTCCTAATATTAATAGAAGAGAAATCCCTACTCACTATTTTTGTTGTTCAAATACAGACAAAGAGCATGTTGTGCATCATCTAAATGTAAAAATCATAACAGATCAAATTCTGGTTGCCACCTGGAAACAGGAGCTAAACTCACACAATGAGGAATACAAATATGCTACCAAATCAATATTAATGGGCCCCTCAATCTTGGCTATAGGGTGACCAGATAGCAAGTGTGAAAAATCGGGACGGGAGTTGGGGGTAATAGGAGCCTATATAAGAAAAAGCCCTGAATATCGGGATTGTCCCTATAAAAATCGGGATATCTGGTTACCCTACTTGGCTGAGACCAGCCCTACACACAGCTCCCTTGGGCATTCTTTTCTGCTTAGCACAGGAATGACTTGGCACAGGGTTGCGCATAAGGGCTATTACCTGGTCACAGTGACCACAAACATGTACACACACGAGGGTGTGGACCACACTGCCTGACCCTTTGGCCATGCCCTGTTATGTCCGTCCAGACATATGAGGAGCAATCTCCCTGCAGCTTTTCAGAGGAGGCAGGATACAGTCAGCCAACTTCTGCCCAGCACTCCAAATGTCAGCTGTGGATCTTCTGAGGTACGCATGTGGAGCACTGGCCAGAATTTGGCCCTTCATTAATATAATTCTGTACATTAAACATTACTTTTGCATTCATTTGGACAACAATTCAGTGAAAGTTTATTGTCCTTAAACTTAGGGCTAAATCCTGTTGGGGGAGGGTAAAGCAAAATGGAGCAAAACTGAGGAAGGGTAATTAGGGTGTGGGGTGGTGCAACAGAAGAATAGTGGTTGTAATCATTGTTCCAGAGTTTCATTTCTCTCTACTGCACATATATCACCCCTATGTTCCAGCACAGTGAGCCACTGCAGTACTCAGCCCCTTTGTAAGCGGGCTCCCCCATGCAATGGATGTGCAGTTCATCCACTGTTTGAGTTCTCCCATGGGTGAACAGAGGGGTAGGATTTTCCCTTAGTCATTAAGTGTGTAACCTAGTATTACAGTTAAATTCTCTCACACTAATTTGCAAAGAATGAGCTGGTTGGAAAATGGAATTCC